ATCCTAGTACCTGAGGAGGTCCGGACCCTGGTTTTAGGGCATTGCCACGATCACCCGTTGGCTGGACACTTTGGCCCAGTCAAAAAACTCTGGAGCTTCTCCGACGCTCTTTTTGGTGGCCAAACATAGCTAAGGATTGCAAGCGCTACGTGAGATCCTGTACCATCTGCCAGAAGAGCAAACCATCGAGGAGCAAAGCCTGGGGGCTGTTGCGACCTTTGCCGATTCCCGACCGGCCTTGGCAGAGGATCGCGATGGACTTCATAGTCGAGCTCCCACCGTCGCAAGATCACACAGCCATTCTGGTGGTCATTGATCGCCTATCCAAAATGGCTCACTTCGTGCCACTAAGGAAGACTCCGTCAGCAGCCAAGACGGCGCGAATATTTATCCAGGAGATCGTTAGACTTCATGGAGTACCTGAGGACATTGTCTCTGATCAAGGGGTCCAATTTACATCTAAATTTTGGAGGGCTCTGTGCAAGGCCCTGGACATCAAGTTGTCCCTCTCCTCTGCGTTCCACCCTCAGACCAACGGTCAGACTGAGAGGACGAACCAGACCCTGGAGCAATACTTGCGTTGCTACACGTTTTTCCTGCAGGATGATTGGTTGTCACTCTTACCCCTGGCGGAGTTCGCTTATAACAATGCAAGCCATTCTGCAACGGGGCAGTCCCCATTCTTTTCTAATTATGGGTTTCACCCTGTCTTTCTCCCTGATTTGGTCTCTGAATGCCCAGTTCCGGCAACGCAGGATGCATTGACCTTCTTCTCCGCCAACAACAAAATACTCCAGGAAGCCATCGCTCGGGCCCAAGTGGACAATAAGAAAGCATTTAACAAGAAACGAAGAGGAGATTTGGCGTTGCGGCCTGGGCAGAAGGTGTGGTTGGCCACAACCAATTTAAAGATGCTCTGTCCCTCTAAAAAAAATTGGGACCTAAATTTGTGGGGCCTTTTCGGGTAAAGCGGATGGTCAACGAAGTAGCATATGAGCTTATCCTTCCTGACACGTTCAGAATTCACCCAGTTTTCCACGTATCCTTGCTGAAACCAGTGATCCCAGATGCCTTCCCAGAACGAGAATCCAGACCCCCGGAAGCCATAACTGTCGAAGGACAAGAGGAATTTGAGGTGGAAACGATCCTTAAGTGCCGAAGAAGGGGGGGGGGCCAGACCCAATTCCTAATCAAGTGGAAGGGCTATGGTCCAGAGGACAATTCCTGGGAACCGGCTCATAATGTCCATGCACCTAGACTAGTCCGGGAATTTCTTCGCGATCACCCCGTGGTGGAGAGATCGGGTGGGCATCCGGAGGTTGCCCGTAGGGGGGGGGGCAATGTCGGGGATCGCCGCGCCGCTGGGCTCGGCGCAGGCGCAGTACGCCGCCCTGTGCAGGAACGCAGGCGCCGGGACCTGGCCAACCCCGGCAACCAAGTTCGCGCATGCGCAGTAGAGATCGCGGGCGCGCGCCTGGCACCGATGACAGCGCAGGGCGGGATATTTAAACGGCCCTGAGCTGTCATTCAGTGCCTTCTGGTCTCCTTGTATCCTGTGAACCTGTGAACCTGTTGTAGTAAGTTATTGACCCGGATTGTGCCCTGACCTTGCTGTTTTCTCCTGTTCTTGACCCTTGCTTGCCTGACCTCTCTCCTGAATGCCCCCTATTGGATCTGACCTGCTGTTGCTGACCTGGCGTGTGACCCGACTATTCTTTGCCCGCTGCTCTGTACCGCACCGTCCCCATAGTTACCGACCCGGCTTGTATGACCTTGCACTTGCTCAGCCATCCATCCATCCATCCATCCATCCCTCTCAACGGGGTCTCCAGACCTCCTCATACCTGGCTCTCTCCCGTGGGAGCCCCTGGCGAATACCCCTACCACTGACAGGTGTCCTCAGTAGTCACGACCTGGTCCCAGGGTGCTCCAAGTCCATCCCCACCATCAGGGGCTCTGGTGAACAAGTACTCTGGGGCTTAGACTCCGTACGCTGGGAACGGCCGATCAGTGGAGTGCTAGTGGTACCGCCGGGCGGTCCCTTACAGCTTCTCACTTCTGCGCTCCCTGGAACCCTAATTCTCACACTGCTAATTCCACCCCTGCCCTGCAATCCTTCTTCTCACCTCTGCACTCCCTGGAACCCTAATTCTCACTGCTCCCCCTGCAGCGCTTCTCACCTGGAACCCTAAATTCCAACACTTCTCACCTCTGCCTCCCTGAACCCTAATTCCACACTGCTCCCCTGCAATCCTCTTCCAACGCTTCTCACCTCTGCGCTCCCTGGAACCCTCCGCACTGCCCCCCTGGAACCCTAATTGGAACCCACACTGCTCCCCCTGCACGCTTCTCAGCTCTGCACTCCCTCCTAATTCCGCTGCCCTCCCTTCTCAACCTCTCACCTCTGCGCCCCATGGAACCCTAATTCCACACTGCTCCCCCTGCAATCCTCTTCCAACGCTTCTCACCTCTGCGCTCCCTGGAACCCTTATTCCACCCTGGCAACCCTCCAACGCTTCTTCTGCACTCCCTGAACCCTAATTCCACCCCTGCTCCCCCTGCAATCCTCTTCCAACGCTTCTCACCTCTGCGCTCCTAATTCCACACTGCTGCAATCCTCTCACCTCTGCGCTCCCCCTGGAACCCCCTGGAACCCTAATTCCACACTGCTCCCCCTGCAATCCTCCTCCGCTCTCCAACGAACCCTTATTCCACACTGCTCCCCCTGCGCTTCTCACCTCTGCACCCCCTGGAACCCTAATTCCACACTGCTCCCCCTGCAATCCTTCCAACGCTTCCAACGCTTCTCACCTCTGCACCTCTGCACCCCCTGGAACCCTAATTCCACACTGGTCCCCCTGCAATCCTCTTCCAACGCTTCTCACCTCTGCACTCCCTGGAACCCTAATTTAAGAATTGGAAGATGGGTTCAGTTTTTTGTTGATGCTGAAGACTTTTAATAGACTAGTGTGGGGTTTTTTGCACTATTATTTTACAATAGTATGTATTTTGTTTATCTCCTGCACTCCTGTGTAAGTTTGTTCTTTCAGACCGCACCTCATGTGTTTGTTCTACATAACCAGGTATTGTAGAGTAGTGCAGGTTTATGTTTCATACTGATGTACTTCTGCAGTGGACACTATGAGGACCTGTCAGTTAGTAAGAGGCTCACTACCTCATCATCTGCTTACACAGCTTCCAAGATTCTTTCTCTCCTCTTGAAGCCAAGTCAAGGTCAGGCAGACCACGATTGCCGCCATAACTACCAGAAGAATTGTTCAGGATAGAAAGAACCCCCCCCCCCCACAGGTGACCTCAGGAGAAGGCTGCTCGTCATCATATTCTTCTTGGAACAACTACGCTGTCTTTTTCAGGAGCAGCCTGTATTTCTCCTGAGACTGTAATTCTCACCCAGTGCTGCCCACCGCTAAGCCACTGTGCTGCCCACCGCTAAGCCACTGTGCTGCCCACCGCTAAGCCACTGTGCTGCCCACCGCTAAGCCACTGTGCTGCCCACCGCTAAGCCACTGTGCTGCCCACCGCTAAGCCACTGTGCTGCCCACCGCTAAGCCACTGTGCTGCCCACCGCTAAGCCACTGTGCTGCCCCCACCGCTAAGCCACTGTGCTGCCCACCGCTAAGCCACTGTGCTGCCCACCGCTAAGCCACTGTGCTGCCCATGTTTTATCAAAATATAAAAATGGTTAGATGGTTATTATAATATGTTTGCACACTTATAGACTTCCTCTGTGGCCTTTGGTTCATGAAACACATTGAGAATCCATCATTTATTATCATTTTGTCTACAGCATATTGCATATTATATTTGACATATTTGATTACTGTAGTCACATTGCTGGATTGATGCTATATATATATATATATATATATATGGTGGATAAATAGGTATACATATCATGAAGTACACAAGACGTTCCGTGAAAATGGAGGGCATAAAGAATAGTAAATCCCATCATCACCATGCACAGAATCCCACAAACCCAACTATGGACCCAAAACCAGACTGAAATCAATGGGGCCAAATCTGTGAAATGTAAAGTGACAATGTTCTCCACTAATAGGCAAGGGGATATACAAATAGCATGGGGGAGGGGGACCAATTCCCCCCAAAAAAAAATTCCATTAGTGCAGCAGTAGTACTTTTTTTTAAATGCTGAACCTTTAAAAATGCCCAATTCCATAAGATACCATGCCGAGGATGGGGGGGGGGGGGGGGGGGGGGTTATAATCCGTCCTGTGAAGTGACACATTTCAGTGATGGACAAAAACTGAGACAGCAGCACTGACATTTATTAAGGGAAGCAATGTTAAAGGATACGTTCACCTTTTGTAACATGTTACATACATATTCAGGGGGTAAACATGTAATGATCAGACTGGCCCCCCCACACCCCCAATCCCCGCTGTGACAGCCACCAGGGGATCCTCTCCCCCCTCCCTAGCTGTCAAATTTAAAAAAAAAACATGCCCATGCGGGGCCCTGCCCACCTGGCCGCATTACTCATTTACAGTCCTCTGTGAAGGAGAGACTACAAGTCCTAAAAGCCTTAGTGGCTGTCGGCTCGTAGTCCTCGATGAACTCACAGCTCCATGGTAATTCATTCATTCTTCCTGTCAGTATATCTGCTTGTATCTCATACATCCCCATACATCCCGTAATCCCCATACCCCATACACCCCGTACACCCCGTACATACATCCCGTACATCCGTACACCCCGTACATCCCATACACCCCGTACATCCCATACACCCCTGTAACGTAAGCGTAGGCAGGACAGAGCACACGGGGAAGATGGGGAACACACAAAACTTTATTGAAACAACAAATTGACAGACACTCAATAGGGAAATGGCAGGGATGGTGATGTGTGCGCAAACACCAGGGACGATTCCAGGCACGGGGAGGGGGTCTTCAGCGACAGGCAGGCAATCTCCCCCCTAGACTTGGGGCCTCAGCCAAGCTCCCTCCATGACTGGACAGTGGATTGGAGACTCGGGCAACAGGTGGCAACCTACCACTGGGCAGGGGCCTCGGCAACATGACAGCAACCTACCACTGGGCAGGGGTACTTCGGGCAACATGCGCAACCTACCACTGGGCACCCCTTGGGCAACAGGCGGCAACCTACCACTGGGCAGGGGCCTTGGGCAACAGGCGGCAACCTACCACTGGGCAGGGGCCTTGGGCAACAGGCGGCAACCTACCACTGGGCATCCTTCGGGCAACAGGCGGCAACCTACCACTGGGCAGGGGCTTCGGGCAACAGGCGGCAACCTACCACTGGGCATGGGCTTCGGGCAACAGGCGGCAACCTACCACTGGGCAGGGACCTCGGGGACTCAACGGGACTCCCTAGCTGTGGAGGCTGGCCACAGCACAGCTCCCACCCAGCTCTCCAGGGTCACTGGGCTTACAGGGACTCAACGGGCAGCGATGGCTCAAGCACTCAGGGGCACCACAGGCAGCTAAACTCCATGCCATCAGGACACGGGGGTCATGGTCACACACACAGCGGGGCGGTTCGGAACACGGGTTGTCGGTGCACACACCGGGGACAGTTCAGAACATGTGCACATCCCACAGGAACATTTTCACACGGGTGGCCAGTGCACACAGCGTACAGTTCAGGACACGGGTGGTCAGTGAGTACAACAGGAACAGTTCAGGACACGGGTGGTCAGTGCACACCAGGAACAGTTCAGGACACGGGTGGTCAGTGCACACACAGGAACATTTCAGGACACGGGTGGTCAGTGCACACAGCAGGTTCAGGACACGGGTGGTCACACACAGCAGGAACAGTTCAGGACACGGGTGGTCAGTGCACACACAGGAACAGTTCAGGACACGGGTGGTCAGTGCACACAGCGGGGACAGTTCAGGACACGGGTGGTCAGTGCGCACAACAGGAACAGTTCAGGACACGGGTGGTCAGTGCACACAACCGGGACAGTTCAGGACACGAGTGGTCGTGCACACAGCGGGGACAGTTCAGGACACTCACAGTAAGCAGCTTGCAGACCCTCAGCGGCAGGCGGCTCCAGACAGGGACGACCAGCGGTCAGCGTTCCAGGGACAACCAGCGATTAGCAGACAGCAGCAGCTCCCAGGGGCACTCAGCAGCAGACAGCCTCCAGGGACACGCAGCCATGGATAGTGTGCAGGGTCCCCCTCAGCAGCAGCTCCCAGGGCACTCAGCAGCAGACAGGGTGCCCAGTAGACAGACTTACAGACTGGCAGGGTCTCAGCTGTGGGGTCTGACCTTTGAGGAGACTCCCAACCCTGGGGTATTGTAGAGGGCTACAGTCCTGACCTTTTGGGGGTCTGCAGAGTGCGCCTGGGGAGGCTCGGTCCCCCTCACCCGAGCCTCCCAACATCTTTCTGGGAGCAAGATGATTCCAGCAGCATGGACAGGAACAAAAGGGAAGGGCTGCTTCCTGTGTGGGTCTCTTGAAGTTCATGTGGGACGCGGCTAGGTTGCCTCGGCAATGGCTGGCCCAGCCCTGTCCATGGAAGCCCCACAGACCTTCTAATGTACAAGGAGGAAGGTAGGGGTGGAGGGATATGGCGGGGGATGAGAGAGGCACTGGCAGTCTGTGACAACTCCCCGTACACCCATACATCCCATACACCCCATACCCCGTGTACATCCCCATACACCCCGTACATCCCGTACACCCCGTACATCCCCATACATCCCATACACCCCATACACCCCAGTACATCCTGTACATCCTTGTACATCCCATACACCCCGTACATCCCCTGTACACCCATACATCCCCATACATATACATCCCCGTACATCCCGTACATCCCATACATCTCCATACACCCTGTACATCCCCGTACATCCCATATACCCGTACATCCCATACACCCCATACATCCCATACACCCCGTACATCCCCATACATCCCATACACATCCCGTACATCCCACACCCCGTACATCCCATACACCCCGTACATCCCGTACATCGTGTACACCCCATACATCCTGTACATCACATACACCTCATATACCCCATACACCTCGTACATCCCTGTACACCCCGTACACCCCCACCCCCATACCCCCGTATATATCCTGTACACCCCATACAGCCCAAACATCCCATACACCATTTACTTCCCCATACACCTTGTACATCCCCATACATCCCCATACATCTCTGTACATCCCCATACACCCCGTACATCCCCTTACATCCCATACACCCCGTACATCCCATACATTCCGTATACCTCGTACATCTCTGTACATCCCATACACCCCGTACATCCCCATACATACATCCCCGTACATCCCATCCCCTTGTACATCCCATACATACCTGTTGTATACATACCCCATACACCCCATACATCCCCATACATCCCATACACCCCCATACCCTTGTACATCCCCGTACATCCCATACATCCCATACACCCCATACATCCCATACACCCCATACATCCCTTGTACATCCCATACACCCCATACATCTCTGTACATCCCCATACCCCGTACCCGTACATCCCCATACACCCCATACATCCCCTTGTACATCCATACACCCCGTACATCCCCTATACATCCTGTACACCCGTACATCCCCCCCATACACCCATACATCCCTGTACATCCCATACACCCTGTACATCCCATCCATACATACCCTGTACATCCCCGTATACCTCATACCCATACATCTCATACACCCCATACACCTTATACATCCCATACATCCCCGTACATCCTATACATCCCCATACATCCCCGTACATCCCATACACCGTACATACCCAACACCCCCATACATCCCGTACACCCCCATACACCCCATACATCTTGTACACCTCGTACATCCCATGTACATCCCATACACCCGTACATCCCCATACACACCCCATACACTTGTACCCTGTACATCCCATACATCCCCGTACATCCCATACATCCCATACACCTCGTACATCTTGTACATCCCATACATCCCCGTACACTCCATACATACATCCCCATACATCCCGTACACCCCATATATACATCCCATACATATTTTTTACCTCGTACAGTTGTACAGCCTATACATCCCTGTACACCTTGTACATCCCCATACACCTACATACATTCCCATACATCCCCGTACATCCATATACACCCGTACATACCCATACATCTCATACACCCGTACATCCCCGTACATCCCATGTACATCCCATACATCCCGTACATTATACCGTACATACATCCCCGTACATACCTCGTACATCCAATACATCTCATACAGCCCCAATACATTTATACATCCCCGTACATCCCTTGTACATCCCCATACACCCGTACAGCCTACACCCTCGTACATTATCCCGTACACCTTGTACATACCCCCATACATCATACATCCCAGGGGTGTACATCCCATACATCCCCGTACATCCCATGCACACCTTCCCATACAGGACCCGTACATGGGTACATAACACCCCATACATCCCGTACACCTTGTACATCCCATACATCCCTGTACACCCTCATACACCCTGTACACCTTGTACATCCCCGTATACCTCGTACATCCAATACATCTCTAGGAAGGTACACCCACACACCACATACATCCCGTAGTGACCTTGTACATCCCATACAAGCTCGTACATCCCATACCTGTACACCCCGTACATTCCATACACCCCATACATCCTGTACACCCCCAGCCTATACACCCCAGTCTACACCTTGTACATCCCCGTATAAGCTCGTACATCCTATACATCCCATACATCCCCATACATCTTGTACATCTCATACACCTCGTACATACCTGTACACCCCGTACATTCCATACACCCCATACATCCTGTACACCCCGTAAAGCTATACACCCCGTACACCTTGTACATCCCCGTATACCTCGTACATCCAATACATCTCATACAGCCAGTACACCTTATCAGGGGCGGACTGACAACTCATGGGGCCCCTGGGCAATAGAGGATCATGGGGCCCCTGTGTCCTTGCCCAACTCAAACTCCGAAAAAGGTACCAGGGGCATCTCATGGGGCCCCCTACTGACCCCCGGGGCCCTCGGGCAGTGCCCGAGTTTCCAAATGGTCAGTCCTGCCCCTGCGATAGACTCATTCCATGCAAAGCAAGATAGTTCAAGCCGTGATTTGTTATCATTGTGATGATTATGGCTTACAGCTCATGAAAACCCCAAATCCACAATCTCAGAAAATGAGAATATTCCATGCAATCAATAAAACATGGATTGTACATAGAACAATATCGCACCTCTGAAAAGTAGAAGCTGCATATGTACTCAGTACTTGGTTGGGGCCCCTTTGCAGCAATTACTGCCTCAATGCGGCGTGGCATGGAAGCTATCAGCCTGTGGCACTGCTGAGGTGTTATGGAAGACCAGGATGCTTCAATAGCGTGTTGTGAGTCTATCTCATATATTACTTTCACCTTTTAAGTTGCTGCACTGAACTGACTTACTGCTGTGTTGTGAATAGGCTTGACTGTGACCATGTCAGACAACAAAAAGGACAAATTCCCGGCTCTAACTTGCCAGCCAGCCTGCAAACAAACCAAATTAACCTGTCTAGCAGTATGCGGTAAAAACAGGTTAATTTTGTTAGCACACATTTGCAAACACATGCAGAAGCTGCAGAGCTTCGTCACGGCACCCCAGTATTCTGTAGTTCCTAACTCTCCATTTTTATGACCAGGGGTGGACTGACAACTCATGGGACCCCCAGGCAATAGGGGATCATGGGGCCCATGTGACTCAAAGCACACCCTAAAAAGTCTATAAAAAAGGTAAAACAGGGGCATTTTATGGGGCCCTCTACTGCCCCGGGCCTGCAGGCAGTTCCCGAGTGCTGGAATGGTCAGTCCGCCCCTGGACATGACTATCTATCAGAAATCCCAGCACGGCCTGAAGACAAAGTATTATGCAAGCCATATTTATTAAATGTATTTTTTGGTGAAACACAGACTGGAATCAAGTAATGAGAAAATGTATAAAACATCATTAGAAACATTTGTACATTTTCATAAAATATTACAGTGAAAATGAAGACAAAGCATTATTTTTTCTCTTTGTTGAGTCATACAGACAGAGCAAAGATGATGAAAAGAGACTTACAGGTTACAAAAAGTCCAGCATAAAAAAATTCAGAAACAATGCATATTGTCTAATTCTAATGGAAAGTGACCAGTAAAGTGAGCAGAAATCAGTCCTCCGATAATCACGTCTCCCTTCTGGTAATATTCATACTCAAGAATGACTTTTGCATGTTAAGTCTACAAGGAGATGCTGAGCTCCGGGTCAATACTTCTCCATAGGATGTGATGGGAAGGATGAGGATGAGCAGGTAACAGACACAGAGGAGCAGAGAACATCTCATGGCACACAGCAGATCCTCTCAGTCACCGGCAGATCTGCCCAGGAGGAGAGACACAATCACCAGAACTTTATACACATCGACTGAGACCGATTTACACTACAGAACAAAGAACGGAAGAATAGAAACATCGACTGAGACCGATTTACACTACAGAACAAAAAGGGAAGAATAGAAACATCGACTGAGACCGATTTACACACTACAGAACAAAGAATGGGAAGAATAGAAACATCGACTGAGACCGATTTACACTACAGAACAAAGAAGGGGAAGAATAGAAACATCGACTGAGACCGATTTACACTACAGAACAAAGAAGGGAAGAATAGAAACATCGACTGAGACCGATTTACACTACAGAACAAAGAAGGGAAGAATAGAAACATCGACTGAGACCGATTTACACTACAGAACAAAGAACGGAAGAATAGAAACATGGACTGAGACCGATTTACACTACAGAACAAAGAAGGGAAGAATAGAAACATCGACTGAGACCGATTTACACTACAGAACAAAGAAGGGAAGAATAGAAACATGGACTGAGACCGATTTACACTACAGAACAAAGAAAGGAAGAAGAATAGAAACATGGACTGAGACCGATTTACACTACAGAACAAAGAAGGGAAGAATAGAAACATCGACTGAGACCGATTTACACTACAGAACAAAGAACGGGGGAAAGAATAGAAACATGGACTGAGACCGATTTACACTACAGAACAAAGAAGGGAAGAATAGAAACATCGACTGAGACCGATTTACACTACAGAACAAAGAAG